CTCAGGCTCCTATCACATAGCAGGTTATCCAAGCTGGTAAGAGGCAGAGTGCTGAGTTTTGGTGCCTGGGTAGGAGAGGTCCAGTGACAGCAAAGAGGGCTGTATAGGAGAATTAAGGGTGTCAGTATGCATGCTTTTGAGTGTATATCTGCCCATCTTACTGCTTGTGAAATACATCTGAGCAGGCCCACAACATGCAGCCCTCAGAAAAAAAATGTGTGTACTTTCATCACAAAATGCAGCCTTGCTTAAAACAGCCAGAAATTGGTGGGAAACATCTTTTACGTTCTAAATATAGCTTGCACTGCCTTGTCACAGCGGAAAGCAGCTTCAGTTGCTGCTTTTGAAGCACAATTAAGTAATTGTTATTGAGCTAATCAGCATAGCTCACACAGCATTCCTGATGGCATGGAGCACTGCTGCACAGAGGAAACGTTCCTGCTCCCACCTTTCCTTAACAGGCACTGTAAGAAAATGGCCAATAAGCACTGAATGCCTTTTCTCTCACACTGCTTTTCCTTGGTGGAAGGAATAACTGCAAACATCTGCAAATCCACCACTTTGTTCATTTCTTTGGGAGAGACCATCCTCGTCTTTCTTCTTCGAGTCCAGACTGTGAGAAAATCTCTTGTGTTTGGCTTTGCCTGTTGTGCTAATCAGTCTCTGATATTTTATCTTGTGTCCTTCTGTTTGTTTTCTCATGTTTGGCTTTTAATACTCCGTGTAACAGTTGCTTATCTCTGCACGGCTGCAAAGGGAAAAGGAGAGATGCTTTGTGTCCTGCTTCTGGGACAGAACCAGTGCAGCCAGGACTGCTGATGCCAGGCACTGAGAAAGCAAAACTACCCCAAGAGTACATGTTAAGGGTTATTTAAATAGGCAGCGTCTGTGTAGGGATGGCAGTGGAATTTGGAAAGGGGTCAGTGGCCAGGATCACACAGACATCTGGACAGCAGAGCTGAGCCCAACGTGACATGGGAACCTGGATTGTCTGAGCCTTCTCCAGTCCTTTCCAGCTCAGTTTTCCAGGGCTGTGTGTGCCAGGAACCTGTGTGTAAACCTGGGAGGTGCCGCGTGTGCGTGCTTTAACTGTGAGCATATGCTGCACTGAATATTGCTCTGTCTTCCCTCTTACAGAGAGAAGGTAGATGAGATTGCATCTGTTGTGCTAGAACATGCTGCAGCCAACCCTCCATTTCAGTGTGCAGGAATACCGATTAGAGGCTTTTAGGCCTGGAGCTGTCTCTTTGCTCTGTGTTTATGCAACACATTGTGCAATGAGATTCTGGCCTCTAGGTGCTAACACCAAAATGTAAATATATTGATTACCAGGGAATAAAGGCAGGCACATTCACAAAAGCATGCTTTGATGAACTGGAGGGAAAATGCTTGCTACACAGAAAAGGATCAGAGGTCTTTACAGAACAGGAATTTGATTGTTTGGGACTGTAGGATCAAGAAGATACATAGAAGATCTTTGGTCTCTTTCACTGCATTTTTCTCCATGGTTGTATTTTTTTGTATGTTTAAATGGCATGAGTACTAGGGACATCATGTCCCAGACTTGTCTACGAATTCCCCAACAAAATATTGGCATTATAGAAATAATTAGAAAGTCGGTAAAGGGGAAACCTTTCACTAGCCAGAAATCTGAGCAGCTGTAAGAGCAGCAAGGAATGCTTCATAAAAAACAGCTATTAGGTTTACCTGATGAATCACAGGGATTTGTAGCCTACCTGTGCTACAGAGCATCGTGGCGACAGTCACTAAGAAAAGGAATAGTACTTTCATATTGATAAAAAGCTCTCGGTGTCACACAGCCCAGAGAGCAAATATCCCAGGCAAGCGGGAGAAAAACTAAGGTGAACCTTCAGCAGAGCGTGGAGATTGGTGCAGAGCCACTGGGGATTTCAAGCACCTTCTCTTTAAAGGTTATGAGCATTTGCAAGCTCAAATTGTCTGCAAAGCGAGCAGAGGCACTCAGTTCCACTGAGAAATGAGGACAGTGATATATTTAAATGTGGATTTCGATGTGTAACTTTATCCACGCACTCATTTTTTCTCTCTCTCATTCCACTCCCAGATAGATTCATTGTCTTTACACAACCCTGCCATCATTCCAGCCTACAGTTGTTGTTGCTGTTGTTATTACTTTTACTAATTACTGCACAACCCGCTCAGGCTTTTCTCCTTCCTTTTTGACTGAGAGACAGTCAAGGAGACAATCTTAAAGGTGAATTGAGATCAGATAAGAAAAGAAATGTTTGCAAATATCTGCGTGAGATAACAAAGCGGGATACATGCAGGGAATTAGACTTCATGAATACATGCATTTTTTCAGGGAAAGTGAAATGCTTTCCACCTGCCAAGACCTGAATTTGGGCCCTCCGGGCTCCATGTCACTCCTGCTGTAGCTGATAATGTCACTAACACCTGAAGCAGCATGAGGTATGCTGCTTTAACCTTGCTTTTATATATTAGTGGTTTCAACAGCCATGAAAAAAAAGAATTCAGAGCTCAGTAATCTCAAACCACATTCCTATAAGGTAAAAGGCTTTTGAATTCGCATTTGAATTGCATTTGTTTTATTGGCACGGGCTGTCCACACGTTTGGCAAATGGCTCAGGGCTCCAAGCAGGTAAACTCTTCAGAGTTGTGTTTCCTCTTGTTTAAAGTATTGCCTTTTACCTATGTGCTCAGAGCCACAGCAAGCATGAGCAGCACAGTGCTGCTGTCCCTCACTGCCAACCTGTGCACATCAGCCTTTGAAAGTTGAACAGAGGGAGAGACTCGCGGGGCACAAAACCAAACACGATTTGCATCTCGTCGAAGCTCTGCGGTGCTGAAATGCCTTTTTCACGCAGTTATCATTTTTTATTTTTCCCCTCCCATCAAATTTTCCACCTCTGCGCCAGCAAAAGTGCAGCTCCAGCAGTGCGGGTGTCAGCAGAGAGTGATCGCTGGCAGTTTTTAACCACTTTGTTTCTTAGACATGCTCTATATAAAGGATTTGAGGAAAAGATGGTGTTTTTGTGGCAGCAGGCTGAACACACCAACTCTTCTAATGGTCACAGCTCGGAAGCAGCAATTGTTCCAGGCTGGCACATAGGATCCAGAGAAAAATGCTATTGCAGTCATCACTTCAGACCTCAGTGTTGAGAGCACTTTGAAGCTGTCAGCTCAGGGCAGCCAGCACTGTCACTACCCAGAAGAGAAAACACACTGCTAAAGGAATCCGTTTTCTTCTGTGATTGTACATATTCCCTTTTCTCTGAGCATGTCATCATCTGCAAATCCCCGAGATATATTTCCAGGTTTGTATTGTGCGATCGCTTTGGCCCCACTGCTTTGATGTGTGCAGTGAAGGTCTCAAAACCCTGAGATGCTTGGAGGGGCCCTTGGCAGAGCAGCACTGTGCTGTGTTGAGTGCAGGCAGTGCCCTGGAAAGCAGAGGTGCAACAGCAGCATCAGGCAGCAGCACCCCTGCGACCAGGCAGTGTGTGGCTGCTGTGCTGTACAGTTGGTCATCACCACCCCCTGCCATGCACAGCCGAAAAGGAAACAAAAGGTGTAAGGAACAAATAGTTTTCACCCGGGATAATGGCTATTTACAATTTTACCTTTCACATTTTAATTGTACAGCAATAATTTTGCAATAGAGTTGCCAGTGGCAAACATGCAAAAGACATTAACTTTATTTATGTTTTGGATTATTAATGTGGCTGTTAAAATTCCTCCAGTTAGTTTTGATTGAATTGTTTTTTTTTGTGCGATTCTGTCGTTTAATGGAGCGGTAAATAAGAATTTCTGATAATGAGCCCAAGCATCTGTCACAACAACCTGGCGCTGGTTATTAACATTTCCATTAACGGCAGGGTGGGCAGTGATAATATGGAAACCACACAGTTAGAACAAAATAAATAGTTGGTGTCAGGCTGAGTGGGTGTTAATTACTATTTTATTTTATAACTCTGGGGGGAGGGAGTATTGGTAGAAAAGTGTGACTTATGAAGGTCATTCTCTAAAGAAGGAAGTCTCCAGAAGAACAGATAACTGGAGCTATCTTCCTCGAGTGGTGAATGTTTTATCACTTCTATTTATGGCCTATACACGGGCAGAGAGAAAAGAGGCTGCTTTCTCAGGGTGAGGGTGAAGGCTGTGGAGAAGCGTGCCTTTGCCCTGCCTTTCCCTTCCTGCTTCTGGAGTTGGAACAGGATGCGCTTGGGCGTCTCTTCTGTAAATAGAACACGTGCTGTTTGGTTAAGAAAATCCACCAGCACCAGGTTGCATCCTGACAGAAGGGAGAGCTGGTGTGACCCAGGTGTACTTGAAGGAAGCCAAAGATTGGTTTTCTTGCAGAGCACGATGCAAAGAAGTATTGTCGGGAGCCTAAGGGGTCTGCTATGTGTATGCGTGTGATACGAGATCAGAGTTAATGAGTAGCAAGCTAAGCCATTTTGTCATACAGAAAATGTGAGGCAGATTGATTGGTACCCAACTAGATACGGGCTGATGTACCTTGGTCCTCGGAAAGGGGCTGATAAAAAGATGTGCCACTGAGTCCAAAGTGGACTGGTGGGGAACAGGCTGTGCTGGAGGGGCAGGGGGCTGTGCTGCTCCCCACAGTTGCTTCCAAGACGGGTTGCTCTGGAACACCATGACGCTGCCAAAGGCAAGCCTGAAACATTACCACAGAATAAAGAAAAAATTCTCTTTTATTTCCCAAAGCTGCTGACAGGATTGAGTTTATTCAGTGTCTAACCCGGTCTGTGTGACACAGAATATCACCTCTGGAGGCTCAGGAGCTTCTCAGTCTCTGCATGCTCTTGCTTTATACCTGAGACTTCCCAGCAATATGGATACCTCCAGGGCTGGCTCTGTGAACTGACTCACGGCATAAACACTCTGTCCTTGGCCCTACCACAAATGGAAAATTGCAGCCTGGATATGAACTAGTTCTGCTTGTCACTATTAATTCTTCTGTCTTCCCTTCTCTCCAGCACCAGCGATGGCCCCACAGAACATCCAAGTAAACTCCCTTTCTGCAAGCCAGCTGGAGCTCACCTGGGACCCACCTCCTGCCGACAGCCAAAATGGGAACATACAAGGCTACAAGGCAATGCTTCTATTTCTCTCCTGGTTTCATTTGTCTTGCTTGGCTTTTCTATTACTTGTGAGATGGCTCTACAACTACAGCTGCCCTCACTGCACAAGGCAAATTAAGGCAGTATTCAGCCTGAGTATGGAAATGGCTGTGTGTTCCAAAATCAGAAGAAATGAGATGGGGGGAAGAGGGAAGAAAGGGAAAAGCACATTGCTATTTGCAGGGAAAGAGAAAGGAAAGCATGGGGAGAGAGGGCATGCAGATAGGGAGGCAGCTACGCTTACGTGGGCAACTTATCTGCTCCAAAAGCAACCAACACAGAAAAGCTTTGGGCAAGGAATGTACTGGAGGAAGCTAACTGGTTTCCATCTATCGACTGTTCCAAAGGCATTAGGAAAAGCACAACTTTCTCCAAACTAGAAGCCAGGTGAGATTTCAGAAGAATTATTTCATTTCCCTAACTTTAACAAAATTAAATCATAGCATTAATTGCATTTGGTTTATATGAGATGAGCACGTTGCAGAGGCATGTTGTTTAGCTTCTCCAGCATGAGAATGGACCCTCGGAGAGTAGAAATGGGCAAGTCTACAAACACTGGAGCTTGGCTTGTCTTCAGCGTCTGGCTCTGCCTCTCTCTATGAATTTAGACCCATAAGTGAAGAAAAGTCAAGCCAATGTGAATAATCTGGCATCCCTTCTTGGCAGTAGCAAGCAACCTTATATATCAATTCATGTTCTTTTTCTTTTCTATGTATATAGATGGCTCTAACAGCTTGCCTTGTAGAGCCAAGGTAGAGTCTTGCCTTGGCTCATTCTCTCCATTTTCTGGCTTGCTTTGGCTTGTTGTAATGCACACACTGCCAGGCCTGTCCAATAAGTAGGGCTGGCACCACTTCTCTCTTGGAATCATCTTCTCCAATCCTAATTTTATGGGATCAGGATAAAAATTGTGCAAGGGAGAACGGAGAAGGGTAATGCAAGGAATTTTAGGGAAAATCTTCATTCCCTCTTCAGAAAGGCATTTTCTTGTCTGTCCTTTGAACACAAATGGTGGCACAGTTGTGCGCACAGGGAAGTGAATGATGGGAGCATCATCTCAGGGTGCCAGTGCTGACAGGCAGCTAGCATTTCAGGGAGAATTAAAAGACTGACCTCTCCTCGCAGAGTTTCTGGCAGCTCAGATCTGCTGTCATCAGGCCACATTCTTCAGCCTGTGCTCTATTTTTGAATGATGTACTCAACTGCATGGCCACTGGACTCAGTGTAATTTGCCAAAGAAAAAGAAAAGATCAGGCACATGGAGAAGAGTGAACCATTTACCAGAGTCCAGAGCAAGGCTGTTCCATCCTGCTGATCTGTACGGCTGCAATGCTGGGATGTTTGGGAGCTAAAACATCTCACTCTTTCCAACAGATTTATTATTGGGAGAGTGATGTCCAGAATGACACAGAGAAAGTGAAGGTCCTTTTCCTCCCTGAGACAACAGTCCGCCTCAAAAACCTGACCAGCCACACGCGATACCTGGTCTGCATCTCTGCCTTCAATGCAGCAGGGGACGGCCCCAGGAGCAGACCCTCAGCAGGCAGGACACACCAGGCTGGTATGTGACCACCTCAGAGCACAGGTCTGATGGTTGCTGGTAGCAAATGAGGGAGAGTGGGGCATGCAGGAGGGCATTGCTGTGTAGAGTTAGCTTTCAGCTGGATCGTTATGTTGTGTTGGCTGAGGGGAAACGATCAAAAATGCAGCAATATGGGAAGGGGAGCAGAGAGATGGAGCTGGAACGGATGATCAGAATGACCGACCCCTTTGCAGGTCGATCCAGGATGCAACTCTGGGGATCTCTTTGGGGCCTCTGCTATTACATCTGTAAATCTGAACTTGTTAGCAGCGCCTAGAAATTCCCGAGCAGTCCTGTGAGAGAAGAGGGATGCTTTGTGCAACCCCTCGTGTTGAAGCCCTACCATCAAACTGAGCTATATGTGGCTGCCACAAGGAGCACACGAGCACTGGGGCTGCACGCCCTCTTAGTGCCCTGCTGCCCTTTGGCCCTGTTCTAGTGAGGGAGTTAGCTTGAGAAACCTTAGCCTCTGCAGTGCATCTCCACTAACCATGACAGGGGGAGAGCAAACAGTAAAACACTGCAAGCTTTCTGATAGTCAGCAGCAAGATGGAGAGCAAAGGCCAAACTTAGTATTTCTGTGAGAGTCTTCTCCTTCTGTTGTGTCTCCTTGCTTGCTGCTGAGACCCAGTTTTGCAGCAGAGTGGCTGCTTTTCTTAGGGAAGACAATCTGTGGTTTTGATTGATTACTGGAAATTTTGATACAATTCATAAATCCCATTCTTACTTTGGCTCCTTTAGATTTAGACTGGGCAAAAAAACGCAGTGTTTTATAATATATATGTATATCAGATTGACTACGCCTGCTGCAATTCAATCCATTTGTAATCCTTTCAGCACCCAATGCTCCCAGCTTCTTGGCGTTCTCTGAAATCACTTCCACGACACTCAATGTGTCTTGGGGCGAGCCGACAGCAGCAAATGGAGTCCTGCAGGGTTATCGAGTAGTCTACGAGCCTTTGGCTCCCGTCCAGGGTAAGAAAGACCTAAAATCATACATATTCATGGGAAAATGACAGAAAAGCACTGTGCGGCATCTTTTATCTCTGCCCAATTTCCTACTTGCTCTCTGCCATTTTCCAGGAGAAGCCAGGTGGCAGAGGGTAAGTAAAACAATTCCTCTTTTGCTAAATCTGCTCAGCAAACCATAATATTGTGGAATATAGCTTTTGTCTGTCCCCTCTCATTTTTCTGCACAAACTATATTCTGTGTGATTTGAAAAGTCATTTTGCTGCCATTGTTATCCGACGTGGAAGAAGAAGAAAGTCAGCTGAAGAGTGCCTGATTGTCTCCCCATGTTGCACTTTCAAATCGCTGAGTGGGCTCCATCCCAGAATAGTCGTCAGGCTCACTTGTGTTGCTTATCACATGATGTGTCACTTCTGTTATCGCAGAGATTGCCCAGGCATCAAATGTGCGAGTCATCACTGGTACCACTGCTGCTTCTGACAGGGCAGGATAACTGTGAAAGAGATTTGGTCGTGTCTGTTTACATGGAGTTTTCAAGCAGAATTTCTAACCCAGCAGTAGATTTAAGACAACACTGCAAAGGCCACAGACGTTTCACTCTTTTGCAAAACAGCACGAGGAAAGGATTTGGCAACTTCTCTGAAAACAAATGTGAATTAATTTCAAAGTTGAATTAGAAAAGATTGCAAAGTTTGGGAATGGCTGTATTAACATTTTTGTGTTTCTGGTAGATTGCCAGTCGTTCAATAGGATGTCCAGCTTTGGCACTGTGACAGCATGGAGAGTAATTTCAGCCATCGCCAATCCATTTTAAACTTTTTTTCCCATTGAAGTAAGGATATCAATCACTGGTATTTGCTTCTTCTGTAAGGAGTAAAGATCTATATTGTCTGAATATCCATGTCTCATACACTGAGAAAATTAGAAATGAAAATATGAGCCTAAAAGCACTTTCAGCCTTTATGGTTGGCAGATCCAAGCAGAAAGAGCTAATGCAGAGAGCATTTCCAATTCTGACCAAGAGATGTGCACAGGGTATGCAGGAGGCTTGGGCTCTCTGGGTATTTCCTGCCTTACATACATTTCTACACAGTGTTTGAGAAAACATTGTGTTCCGCTGAAAGTATGGAATTGTCAGATCATGCTCTCTCTGTACACATTTGATTGAACATCCTCAGAACCTTTGTTTTCTTCTCTTCCCCACCTCTGCTCTCTGACTCCAAGTTGTCTGTCCTCCCTCTGTAGATTTATTTCTGGTGCAAGCAGGGAGGTTTTAGAGGGTTTTCCCTCAAATTATTATATTTTTTTTTTACTTAAATTTATTTTTTATTTTATTTTTATAATTTTTTTTTCATTTTTTTTCCTCCCATTTCTACCCATTTTCTTTTGTACCAACACTTTTCTTTCATCAGATACGTTTACATTTACCTGCACGGTAAGCAACCCCTCCCTCAAAGCCATCATTTTCCTTGGAGAAATATAAAAACTCAGCTCATTTATTTAGAGGGCTTCAAGGCAAAGCCCAAGTAGCTGCAAATAGAGCACATGGCAGTGCTGGCATCACTGGGGGGCAGGGCATCACCCCGCTTCTCCTCCCATCCCCAGCCTTCCCATTGCTCCATGCTTGCAGTGCACCATGCCAGATCCCTCCTGCTGCCTGCTGACTTCTCTTCCAGCTGTGATTTTAGGCTGAGGCCCCTCAGCCCTGTGACACCTCCTGCCTTCTCTCTGTAAGTGGAAATCCTGCAGGTTTTGCAAGCCTTGCTAACAGTGGTCTGCTCCACAGCACACTCCTCTCCCTGTCTGACCTTTTATTGTTTAAGCTTTACGATGTTATGTTTTACACCATAATAGACAACAAAATTGCCCTGGGGCCTTTTTTTAACAGTTTCTTTTTTTTTTTTTCTTTTCCTTCGGAACATTACTTTGAAATGATAAATGCTTCCTGATTTGTCTCTGAGAAATGAAATAGTGCACCTAGGGAAGGAGGGAGCACTTCTACTGCTTCCTCATTAACTGAGAAAAGATCCTCTGAATTATAAATTGTCTGGGAGAAAACTTTGAACGGGAATTGCTTGGACATTACTCTTCCTTTAACTGATAAAAACTGAAAGAGGCGCCTTGATTTGCATATAACATAAACATCCAGATTGAAAAACTTCTTCCTTTGGCGTTCCTGGGGGAGAAAAACTAGCAGGCAGCCTTCTGTAGTGGGAAGAACATTTTCCCACTTCCTATCTTCCTGGCTGGAGATGTGTTATGTACAGAACCAGACAATACCAAAAGGACTCTTGTCACTTCCATTTTTGTTTGTTCAGTTAAATATTTTATGTATCAAATTGCTTCCATTAATTCAGTTGTACAAATTTTCAGTAAAAACTAGATTTTAATTCATCCGTTTAAGAAAAATTCTGAAGAGTGGGGAAGACTGGAAGACAAGTCATGGCTTTAGCCTTCACCACGTGAGTAGTGCTTTGACTGCATCCCCTGCTGCAGTGGCACTTATACCCAGAAGCTGCCTGCGAGATATTTGTCCTTCATTCCACATTCACTTAATAATGGTGCAAGAGCCAGGACAAGAAGGAAAGAACCTGAAGCCTCATTTCCTCCTCCGAGGCAGCACTGCAGGTTATTCAGCAAAGAAAGAGCAGAGAAGTGCTTGTTTAGGAAGCAATCTGCAACACTGCAGTCCTCTTCGTTTACCTCCTCCTTTCTTCCCAGAGTAATTAGTGAAGTTGCGTGTAGTCTCTTGGTAATTTCCCAGTTGTGTTGTAAGGTTTTTTTCTTGTCAGTACCCACTTATCAAGCTTAAACTCTAATTATACTTATCAGTGCTGAAAATTGGCTATTATCACTACTTAAACTCCTGCTAATTGTAAGAAATACTTTCTTAGCAAACTGTTAGATGATTTTACTTACCATCTAGATATAATAAGCTTCTTTTCTTTTCTTTTCTTTTCTTTTCTTTTCTTTTCTTTTCTTTTCTTTTCTTTTCTTTTCTTTTCTTTTCTTTTCTTTTCTTTTCTTTTCTTTTCTTTTCTTTTCTTTTCTTTTCTTTTCTTCTCTTCTCTTCTCTTCTCTTCTCTTCTCTTCTCTTCTCTTCTCTTCTCTTCTCTTCTCTTCTCTCCTCTTCTCTTTTATTTTATTTTCATTGCAACCTTCTCTATTTTTCATCCATGTGGCTATTCCAGGGGTCAGCAAAGTGGTGACTGTGGACATTAAAGGGAACTGGCAACGCTGGCTAAAGGTCCGAGATCTTACCAAGGGCATGACCTATTTATTCAGAGTGCAAGCCCGAACCATTGCCTATGGACCTGAACTGCAAGCCAACGTCACAGCTGGGCCAGCAGAAGGTGAGTGGAACCATAAAAACATGGCACGAGCTGGATCAGTGATGCAAATGCAGCCCAATAGCAGAGAATAGCACACTCAGGGTTTAGCGTGGGTTTCTAAGACAAGGAGAAGCTGAATCACAGGAGCACAGAGCGTGATTTGGTAGATTTCACATCTGCACATGAAAAACATCTTCCTTTTTCTTTCTAGAAAACTAAAAGACTGATGTGAATAAACAGAACAGTGTGAATAAATCATAGTGCAAACTGGCTACCTAGGGAATTCAAAGCTACATCCATTGTGGTTCAGAATTCTGGTTGGTGTGCTATCAAAGGAGTCCAAGCTGGAATGGTTCTGCCTAAACCAGTAGAAGTTCCTGGGTGTAAAAACAGGAAGAGTTTACAGTTATTTCTTCCTGACACTTTGGCTTATGCACAGGGAGATGTCTGCAGATTTCCTGACATGCCAAGAGGCTGAATTTCAGCATTCCCTGCTTGGTTCAATATATGTCCCGAAACAGTTGGTTTTCTTATTTGATCAGTGATAACAGATGCCAGATAATCATAACAACTTAAATTCCCTCCAATTATATCAGTTTTCCCTCTTTCCTTCTTAGCAGACACACTTGTATAACAAGTGCCAGTAAAAAATTAGGCCAGCATCTTATTGAGCTGGTTTATATTGAATATATGTTGGCCAGTACTCCTGGATTATTTCCTCTATCAGGAGAAGAAATGCAGAATACTAAAGTGCATTTCTAGTAACACCCAACATTTGCTGTTGTCATTTAATCCTCCAGGGTCTCCCGGCTCCCCTCAGGAAATTCTAGTGACAAAATCTGCTTCTGGGCTGACAGTACAATGGACTGAGGGGGATTCTGGAGAAAAACCCACAACCGGGTACATTATAGAGGCACGGCCCTCAGGTAAGCCATGGGAATCATGGAGAGCTCGTTGTCCTCAGTTCCCATATTCAGCCCATGCTGAAACCCACCCTGCAGTGGAGATGTTTTTTCTCTTCCCAGTGAGCTACCGGAATTTTGTGATTTGTTACATGGGTTATCTTATTTTCTCCTGTTTAGGCATAGTCACAGGAAATTACCCTAATTGCTCTAGTTTCCAGTGTGGTACATCACTGGTAAATCATCCAGCTGATGAACCAATACAGTTAATAATTAAAACTCACTTAAATGTTTACAGCATCTTTCACACACAAGGACTTAAATGCTTGCAAACTGCTTTTCGAGGACCAAAAATCTATCGTTCAGCAGCAGAACACAGCAGTTAATCTCTGTTAATAACCAGACCAGGACCACAGTAGCATGCATGCATGGCTACCCTGTTTGTTCTGCAAGGAGGGCATTAGTGGACGAGAGGAGGTTCCTCATCACCACTGTTTCTCTTGGTGCTTTCCCAGAGCTCCTTTGCTCCTGGCAGTTACGTCTAACTGAAGTTACCCTCTGCTTTATCCACAGTATTTTCCCAGCTGGAGAAGATGGTTTTAAATTGAGGCCTTTGCTCCGGCTTGTTTGCAGCCTCTCCCAGCTTGGTACCCCCTTGCCAATTTAACAAGCATGCACTTTGTGGTAGCCAAGACATTAACAAATCAGCGAATACTGCCAGACCCCTGTGTAATCTCACTTGATAAATTCCCTCCACTCTGACAGAAGTGCTGATAGCCATTCTCCAAGTACAGTTTTCCAGCCGTTGATGCATCTACCAGATACTTGTTTCATGTAGGCCATGTTTGAATGTCATGATGTCAAAAGCTTTGCCGAAGTCAGGATAGATGATGTCTGTTCTTTCTCCTCTATTGACAAGGTCTGCTACCCTGTCACAGGAGGAAATTAGACATGATTTATACCTGACATACCCATGTTGGTTGCTTGTTCTTTGCTTTTTCACTTTCAGATGCCTGCGCGCTGCTTGATTATATATTGATTAAGTTAATGCTTATCTGTTCAATTATATAAAGGATCTGAACTCTCTCTTGTATGTGTCTTGAATGTAAGACTACATTTAAAACCAATGATTATAATTGTATTTAACTGGACCGATAACAAAATTGTTGTGATTGTTGATGAAGCTGCAAATTTCCATACTTGCCTTTGGTAGAACTTGTTCTGTAGTGAGGCTGTGTGGGGACCCCAAAATTCTGTCATTTAACATGATCTGCTGTGTTGGTTTTCTTCAAAACAAAGTGAAGGAAAATGTGTACATTCTCAAAGCACTGGAATTTCCCACTGATCTCAGGTGGTTGTTTTTTTTTTTTTTAGTGAAGGCATGTCACCAAATTCTTCCATTTGTCTTATACCAGCTTTTTGATCCCTACTCTGTTTTCCTCATAGGCAGAAAAATGCTCTCTCTCATATTTGAACAGTGTTAGTAAGTTAAACCAAAACGGTTCGCTGAGGTTTGCTTCCCAGCTTACATTTCCCCAAACAGGGTTTTTAGAGTAAGATTGTTTCAGAGGGAAACCTGTACCCCTTGTTCACATTTGTGTGCGCTGCAGCACCGCAAACCCACCTGATGTTCCTGGATTTGTCTCACCTGTGGATGTGCACAAACACTTCACAGTTCCCGTCTAAGGATATAGGATTTGTGGTTCACTCTTTTTGAGCAGGAAGAAAATAGCCCTTCCAAGGCAGGTCTGAGCTGCATTAACCCTGGGTCATTCCAGCTGGCCTCACGCCACTGATCCTGGAAACACACAGAAGGGATCTTATACTCTTGCTCTTGCAACCTGACTGTTGAGGCATTTAATTCCTCCTCAGATTATTTTAATCCTATTCATGCTGCTGTAGCAAATGAACTAGCCATTTGTATGCTGGATTCTCACCCTTAGTTCTGGTTGCAGCTGTAGAAAGCGTGAAATGTGATCCAAGAGAGGAGAGGACTAATTGGAGCACTTGCTTATTTCACGCAAGTGGCAGCTTCTTTTCACTACTGCTTTTCTTCCTCATCTCTGCATGGAAGAGTTTGAAATCTGAATTATGAGCTTAACAAAGGCAGGAGACTAATTCCTCCTGTAAGGGCCGGCCATTCAGAGCCATATCTGTTTTAATATAATTCTATGAATTTGCTTCTGCATGTTGTTTTGTGTGTGTAGTAGAACATGGATTGGAGCAACCTTTATTTTTTAGTTGTCCAAGAGAAGAGCAATTGACTCTTAATCAAGGAAGGAGAAGATATTTATCCTTTTGACCTCAAAAAAAGGGACATTGAACAGACAGATGAAAAGCTTTTGCTTGTTGCCAATATTTAAATGCAATACCACTACCTTAGTATTTCACATCTCAAGTGTCATCTATTATAGGCCTCATTACCCCAAACGTTAAATGCTGTATCATCTCATTTTCCCTGCTGTAGCTCCCTGCCAAGACTCTTCCATCAGAGTACGAGGGTGGCTTTCTGTCATAAATGGCAAACTCTACCTGCTTTTGTCACTTCCCTTCAAATTTTTCAGTGCCCTGCTGTGTTTCGCAGGCCTCCAGCTGCCCTGCTGGGTTTAGCAATGGTGGCAGCAGGCAACTGAGATTGTTCATTTCATTTCCCCATTTCTCTCCCAGATTTATGGCAGGTGACCAGGCTAACTGTCTCCTGTGCATTTTGAATATACTTAGACACCAGCATGGAGCAGGCAAACCAATATTTTTTCCAGAGCTATCTGTGCTAGAGGAAGGTATTACAGAAACAGAAGAGTTTTTCTTTTCCTTCAACTCATCTGTCCCTGGAGAAATGGATTCCAGTTTAGCTCCTTTTGCATTACAAGAAATGCAATTAAGCGGCCTGTGTCACTGCCATAGAAAGCACTCCCTAGACATCCACTGGGCTGGCTAAGAAGTGGGTATTAGATCACGTCCTTTGTTTCTACATGCCGAACAGAAGACAGAAATGGCACATCAATGTAAAGGTTCCCAGCACTGCTGATGGAGCGGAAAGGATGAGTTTGCACCTCTTCTCCCAACCCACATCATCTCCAAGCCTCCTTTCTCCACACTGTGCTTTACTTTTGGGCGTGCGTCCTGTAAAGCATGCAGCAGTGTCATACAGGCTTTCCTCCCCATTTATCCCTTCTGCAAAGCATGTGTTTCTGCCCCATGGCCTGGGGAGCCATACTGCCAGGAGTACACATCCACATGTAGGCTTCATGCACATTTTGGCCTGCTGTGGGCATCTCAAGGTGTAGGACAGCCATGCAGGGCTCAGTCTCTGCTCTGTAGCTCAGGAAATCCTCTGAAGCAGGACTAGACAAGAGTTGTGTCCTGTTGTGCTTGCTCTCTCCCCACCATGCCTTTTGGGTTTTGTTGGTTTGTTTTTCCCAAGTAGTGCATGACTTTGTCCCAGTGGAAGAGAGTTGTAGCTTAATAAAGCCAATAATTAACCTCTAGCACTCTGGCTGGCATGAACAGGCTGGATGCACTGCAGATCAGCCACACATCATGAGTTCAGGATGCAAACAGCTCTGGGGAGTGTTTTCTTTTGTTGCCCTGGATGATCTGTTCCATGAAAACAACAGAAGAACTTGTCTTTGGACAAGGGATTGTCCTTCCCACGAACGCTGGTTTTCACTTCCCACACCCCAAGGGCAGATCTCACTTCAGTTTTCTTTCTGGTGTCTTGAGAAATGTTGTTGTTGTTTTCTTCCTTTTCTATTTATTTTTAAACAAATGAGGGAGTGCAGTGTCAAACGTGGACACAAACCAGCAGAAGTCAGTAAATTCAAAGTGAAGGCTGCAGCTGCATTGCCGGCATCTGCCATGGGGCCTTTGATTCTCTTCTGCTCACTAGTAACATGCTGAGGTTGACAGTTAGTCAGCCTTCACTTCCCATTCTTGTCCTTCCCTTAGTTTGCATGATAATCCATCCCTTTGCCTCCGACAAATGCTTCCACATTTTAATTTTGGCCTCCTAGGAGGAATACTACTCAAATTCAGCAAGTCCTTAATTCTCAGCTGCTTCTCCCTTCATAAACCTGCTAATGTGTAATCAGGAGAAGTTTTACAGCACAGCCCTCCTCTTTCTCCGAGGGGAAAGGCTGGTGCTTAAGACCCACATAACTGACAGCTTTCCATCTCTCCAGCTGCAGCACAGCAGTCGTTTGATAGCAGGCAGAGTTAGCAGAGCCAGGAGCCCTCGTTACTGCATAATAGCTTTATATAGACCCCAATTAACTCCCCATGAAACCAGACTTGCATGTAGCTGCTGTGCCTCACCACAGTGGTCAGCACTTGGCCACGAGGGTGCCCAGTCTGCAAATGGGGAAGGTCAGAGATGGCTTTGCCTTCCCTGACATTTGGGTCAACCATGAATTAATATCCAGATAGTATCCCAACCACAGCATGCTCATCCTTCCTCTCAAAACTGAGTCGAAAATGCTGTGTATGGTATACTAATGATTTTCTACCAAACTTAAAGGCCAATCTTCACTACCAAGGTGGCCTTCTAATGAATTCTCTTTCAGCTGAACTTCAGACATTTAGAGCCCACCTGGTTTTAAGGGAGGAGGAAAAGATGGGCGAATGAATTCATAGGTTTGTGTTCAATATTTAATTGCAGAGCTCACTACTGAAACAAAATGTCTTTTTTAGTTCGGATATATCTGATTGCAATCTCTGTCTATGAAGACAGGCCTGAATATTCTGGAGAGAGATTAGATAAATTGAGGCTCTGTAATTAAAAGTTTTGTTGGCCAGAGCTGGAGAAGCCACAAACTACCTTGTGAATAACATCTCCTTGGAGCAGCAATGAGAAAGACATCCTTACTGCAAGCTTTACAGAGTGGTTAAATTTCAACTTTCTTGGTCTGTTGGAGATTCTGCACTGTGCACCTTGATAGGTTTAAGAAAATAGCAAGGAAGTGTATGTGAACAGTTGTGTTTGTTGCAATGAGCATTGAACATTCATTTTTACTGTTGCTTTTTCTTCCCCCATTTAAGCAGCTTTCATTGTAAACAAATTGCTTTTCTGACAATTCACAAAGGGCTCAAATTCTCTTATTGCTGTTTACAAATGTGTTTATGAAAGCTCAGGCAATTCTAGCAATTATAGCAATATTTTATAGTCTGAGATGCATCTTCTTAGTATCGGTGGCTGTGACAATCTAACTTGGAAAAAGCATCCCTCGCTCCACCCTTTTCAGATCAGCTAAATCCCAGGCCCCCTTTTTATCACGTTGTGAGTTTACGTGGTAGAAATAATCCAGCCTTCAACTGCCCTGTAAAAGAGAAGTCAATAATTTATCTCTTGTTTTATAGCCGTTGTAATATCCAACTAATACGTAACAATGGTACATTATGATAACTTCATTATACTCTGATCGTGGTGGTGAATAATGCATTGGTCTGAATTTTAAGCCTGACAGACGAATTACCTATTTTTATTGTTCTTTAGTGTTTCTCAAATGTAGCTGGAACAATAACATTTCAGCCTGCTTTCTGCATCCACTGCGACTGCCAATCCTCATGATCAGAAAAGAAGTAGTTTGGGGGTTGTTAGTCATTGTGTGTGTTGCTAGATGTGCAGCACGTTACAAATCACCAAACCAACATTTACTGATGCCAAAGTTAAAATGTTCACATGGAAATGCACCTGCAGTGTTAATCAGTCCATCTTTGCTGTTATTCCCTGTTGCACAGAAGTAGGCTAAGGGCCAGATTGTGTTCTGTTACACCAACACAGCTTTGGAATTGCTGCAGTGTCTCCAATTAGTTCACACTTGGGTAAATGCAAAGCAAATGAGAACAGAGTCTGGCTTCACACTGCAGCAGTGGAACAAGTTGCTAAGGGTAGTGCTGCTGGCTCCTGTTTTATTGTTACCTTGATAACACCTCAAGCTACAGGAGTCCTGCTGATGCTTGGATCTTACAGTGCAGAGGGCTTTCTTTCAAAGCTCCTGTACTGGAATAGTATCCATGCAGAGGTTATCACAGCCTTCCTATTGCTGTAGGACATACAGAGAAAAACAGACATTGCCTGAACAGCTTTGATAACTAAAAGTAGAAGTCTGCTCAGGTCAAATCCTTAAGAGCTGTGCTGGCTGAGGCTAGCTGAGAGTTTGGCACCATGTGTAGACCGTAACTTCATTTTGTCGGTGGAAGTGCTGGGCACCAATTGTTGCTGATATGCAGTCTAGTTAGATTAATGTTTGATTCCTGCACTCAAAATTATTGACTGGCATCTTTAATTATAGTTGGTTTTGTTCTTACTGGTAGCAGCATCCGTCTAGTTGAAAGTTCTTTCCATTGAAGTCAAGTGAAAGTAAGGTTAAGGGTACGGATCAGGGACTGGAACGGTGCCTAGTCAGGATGCACATCAGGATAAATGTCAGCATGGCTGCAGAGAGCTGAGATTACCCTACTGAAACGCTCTCATCAGTTATGCAGAAGGCATCGTGTTTCCCGAAACTTTGAAAGCTTTGTAATGCAAACAAAACCTCATTCCTGCTTAAAAATATATGGCACAGAAATGCAGTGCCTGCTGCCTCGCTCCACGGGCTGTGCCACACTGCCGTCCAGCCCATACAAAGGACACTTCTCCATTAATGTTGAGAACCAAGCAACACTCCAGTAGCACCATTCCACTGGAGGACCAGATCTTGCAAGGCCACAGTCCTTCTGCCAAAACCTGAATCTGACATTGGTTTGTAAAACTTAGCCTACACACTTGGATAGCGAAGTCACTTTTGCAAAGTGAAAAGCAGACAAAACCTGTGCAATTAGGACTCATTAATGTAGCAGGTTGCTCTGGGCTTACTTGCTCCGTCAGGTAACAGGCATGCAGATGCAGTGACCTCACCCTGGCAGGAGGGACCCAGGTGGTTGGCAGCTGCTCCAGCCAGCTTAGGTCACCACAGGTGCTGCTGCAGCTTTTAACAGCCGTGTCTCCCAGCTGGGCTGTTATGACACCCCCATCACGAGTAAATCCTTTTACAGATGAGGTCTTGCAGTACATTCTGACATTTGTGTATATCTCTAAGCAGCCTTCAGGTAAGCATGTCCACTGCCTGTGGTGGAAGCAACACAATTAACGACAATTATTTTTCACAATCAAAAGGAAATGCCAAGTCACACAGTTAATGCCATCCCTCTCCTCGCTGCTTTCCCAGATGAAGGACTGTGGGACATGTTTGTGAAGGACATTCCTCGCAGCGCTACCTCCTACACCGTCAGCCTGGACAAACTCAAACAGGGTGTGACGTACGAATTTCGGGTGGTGGCTGTCAATGAATTTGGCTACGGAGAGCCAAGTGTTCCCTCTGTGGCAGTATCAGGTAATCGTGTTTGTGTGATAATGCTTTCCAACAGATTTTCTTACTGGAGGTGGAGGAGGAAGAAAAAATAAAACAAAACAAAACCGCCTTCTCATGTTACAATAAAACACTAAGGCCAGCTTGTTTTCGCTTGTTTCAGGGCAAAATGTTGTTGAGAATTGTTATTTTAGTATGCTCTACTCTCAACGGGAAGAATAAGCTTGTGCCATTTTTAAGCTTGGCAAAGAACCTTCTCAGGTAGTTTGAGAGTGTGTTTACACGTAAGATTTCTTGCCTTAAGACTAATTTACAAAGTCTACAATTTGTTTGCTTTTTCTCCTTCCTCCTCTCCAGGTCTGTTGTTTTGTTTACTCTGCTTTCTTCTCTTTTCCCAAGGTTCTGTGATAAGCACTTTCTGTGTTATTTTACATTTAGCTCTCAAGAATGCAGTCTGACAAAACTACTCATTATATCCTCTGTGCTGGCAATTCCAGCACACTGTGATGCCCCCATTCCCATTCAACACGACAGATTGGTGGTGGCACTCATAGACTCTTCCCACCCTTCCCACTCTATTATGATAATTCCCAGTAAAGAGGGCTAAACACACTTCCAAAGTCCCTTTGAACAAGGCAGCACTCTGATTTCCTGAAGGAACCTTCAGTGCCTTGAAAAGAAACTTGCAATTCCACTCGGCTTGCCATGCTTGGACAGCTTTAGTTCGATGGGCTGTTGTGAAGTGGGAGAGAGCTTGCCCTTGTAAACATCTTGCTCAAGTCTCCTCTTACCCTTGCAGAGAGGGCTGTACTCCAGGTTGCTTTTGAGCAACAGGTTGCATCCTCGCTGCGTCAGCAAAGACAGATGAGGAATAGAAGAACCTGAAAAAATGTCTTTGTGATTCAAAGTTCTGGAGAGTCCTGAGAACCTGGCAGTGCTCCAGTATCTGGAGTGGCTTTTATCTCTTTGCTTCTCGAGTGAAAAGCATAAACACCATTCAGTGGTTACCCAGCAGGCAGGAGCAGTAAATGCTGCTATCGCCATCACGGCTGCATTTGTCCTTACACAATTAACCACTTAGCCTGAGAGCTGTCTATAGATTTCAGTGTGAGTGCTACCCTTGCTTTTCTCCTTCAGGACAAGGGCATAGACAGCCCACTTCAAACACCAAGAGTCAGTGTTTTTCCAATCTGTGGTTTCACAGAGGCTGTAGCACAATGTAAGGGGTCAGTGATCATGTCAGTCTTTCCATTCCCAGAAGATATTATTCCCCTGAAGCCGGACACACAACCTTCTGATGCTTTTTATAAATAAACTGCTTGTTTGTAAGTTCTCCACTTGAACTGAACTATTTAATTCACCTCCTTTTGATGCTTCAGTATTCATCTCAAATTGCTGCATGAAAGTAAGAGGTTTCCGTTGAGATTCCCAGCCATAAAAGTATACAGCGTTTTATGCTGCCCACTTCAGCTCGCACAGGGAGGTGTAAATTGCACTGAATCTGCTCAGCCCAGCGTGCCTCGTGCAGTTTGCCTGCAGGACTTTGTTAGCTTGGGTTGACCTCCTAACAAATAAAGATTGTGGCTGCTTTTCACTGCTGCAGAAATACCCAGTGATCTGGAACAGATTGCCCACATCATCAGGCTTACAGCAGACATTAGTTTACATCCGTGGTCCAGGATAGTGAGAGGAAAGAGAGTGCCTGGGTTCAGTGGCAGTGAGGATTTGGGTTGGTCTCCTGGCATCAACCACTCCTCACAGGGTAAACGATAGGGAAATTACATGCAACTGCTCTTTGTGCTCCAGTGGCAGCACTTCTGGTCAAAGCTGAGAGGTGCTGTGGAGAATATCACATCAAAAAACCCATAGTACTTAACTGCTTCAAACCACGACTGGGCAAGAGAACTCTAGAAAGGGGAAGTTTGTATCATTTTTATGCCTCCAGCTGAGGTCAAATGGAGTGAAATGACTTGAGAAAACACAAAATTCAGGCAACTTCTTTGAACGCCTCTTTCCAGAGCACTGTTAGGGGTCTAGCTCACCGTGGGGGAGAAAGGGAAATTCTTCAGGAGCATAAGGAGTCATTGTTGTTCCTCTTTTGCATTTTCAGCACAAACAGAAGCCCCTTTCTATGAGGAGTGGTGGTTTCTCCTGGTGATGGCTCTCTCAAGTCTGATCCTGATCCTGTTGGTGGTGTTTGCTTTGGTCCTGCATGGCCAGAGCAAGAAGTACAAGAACTGCAGCACAGGTAAGACAGCGGCTCTGCACTGTGCACATGCTCTCAAGAACTTCAAGAATTAGAAATGTCTTCCCTTTGAAATCTTGATTTCACCAGCACGTGCTCTCTTAACAGGTATTTTGCTTGGCAGAAGAGTTGGATATTTTTACTGTTTGATTTGGTAGAAATGGCTTTTGCCCATGGCCTTGCTGGGCAAAGAGTGCCTGAGCCTGTGAGATTTTGGAAGTTAACCACAGGCTTGGACAGAACAGCATGTGGAAGGCCCAGGGGCTGTAACAAAAGCCAAGGCGTCTGGGTCAAATGCTTGGCAGAGGACAACAAAAAAATGAATGAGCTGAGACTTCATTTAGCTCAGTTGTCATTCCCTGATAGATGGGGAGAGGGTTCTGCTTTCCGTGTCTGTACCCAATGCAAATATCCTATGGCTGTATGTGTGAGGACTACATCATAGCTCCCTTATATTAAATAGAGTGCCCAGCATCTCGTGTTCGTTCCCTAAGCCGAGCTGCAGTTACTGGTCTGGTGCCAAGGAGCTGGGAGGTGCCTTGGTTATCCGGGCCTGTTGAACTTTGGGGCACTATGAGGATCAAGATGTGAATTTTCCTTTAGTTATAGTTTTTACCATTCCTTTCTGAAAGGGAAGAGGAGCTACCTGCTCTGGAACTGGGATAGTTGATAGTCCCCTTTTTTAGCATCTGGTTCCAGAGCAGTGAATATTGTTCTTATCTTTTCTTCACCTTATGTGAAAAACTTGTTCATCTGTGTGGTTCTTTGGTAGCTATCTCCACCTCCAGCAAGAAATTGCTCTGCTGCTAGAAGGCCTTGCCAAAAAGGCCCGTTAGTGAGTCAGAGTGAGTGGATGAGTCTTTATGCTACTCATTCTAAGGGATTAATGTAATGAAGGAGTCTGGAAAGAGTCTTCCAGACAGTATTTAGAAATTCAGTCCCAAAGAGAAGATCTTTTCTTTCTTTATAATTCACTGCTAACAAGCGTTAGAAAATCAGATTTTAGTCCCATGGCATATAAGATGTATGAATACCGTGGCATTTTACCAAGTTAATACTATTACATATTTGTATGCACAGCTCATAGGAAATCACTCATCTTCTTAGTTTTGCTGTGTGTTTGGGGCACAGACAAGAAAAGACACGTCTGACCTGCACTGCCAGGTATCAGTGTTCACACTGAGTCTTAATGTAGCATTGAAATTGAAGTTGAGGATGAAGCACCTGTCTGCTGCAAAGTGGCAATACGCAACTGGTCCTTCTCTGCAGGACACTAGCAGAGCTCACACCTTTGGGATTACAAAGAAGAGCATGGGAGAGAATAAGCTCTTGCTATATTTGATCACAAGAACAAACATATCTTGCTGTATTTTCCCTTGTCCGCCAGTCCCTGTGCTTTTCCCTGCCTTACACTGTTTGTGATTTCTCACACCTATATCTTATTCTCATTACACTTCTGACATCTTTTTTCCCATTTGCTGCCCACTAGTCCTTTCTCTTGCTTTCCTGCCTTTTTTGTTTGTTTGTTTGTTTCTTCTTTTTCTGCCTTTCCTAGTTTTACTTTTGCTTTGCTTCAGTCAGCATTAATGGGATGCATGTCACCTGGTTTAGGACACTTTCAGTGGCCACCTGAAATACTCACCTGGGTTCCATTTGTAGTCAAAAGACAAGCATAAGCACTTGTGGAGCACAGTTCACCTGCATTATTTTAGATACTTACCATTGAATGAAATGCATTCATCCATGACTCCGTCCCTCCCCTACTTTTGCTCCTTCTGCCTGTCTGCACTCCTGATATGCTCCTTTCTTCCACTTTGTACTCATTTTTCAGTAACAAAGCTAGAGAGATTTTTAAAAAATAGTGGTATCATAAAACAATGAAAGGAAAGTTAGCAACTCATTTTTAATCACTCTTAAAGTTGTATCTGGGAGGAAAATGCCCTTGTTTCAGCTGAATCTCTCATTGCTTGGCTCCAGGTAAGACTATCTCCAATGTGGAAGAGTCAGTCACCTTGGATAATGGAGGCTTCACTGCTCTGGAGCTCAATAGCAGACACCTAAACATCAAGAGCACATTCTCCAAGAAAAATGGAACCAGGTAAGAAGCTGGGAACACCACGCTGCTGGAAATGCCTTTTCATTTAGATTCAGGCAGCTATTAAGTAGGCAACATGGAGACACTGTTGTCTGGTGGATCTAAGGAGGTCTTCACACTAATGCCCAAGTCACTGCTCCAGGCTGTGATTCTGATTTCTAAGCATGATTTTATTGTCTCTAATTGCATCATTTCAGAGAAGTGACAATATCCATACACTCACATGTTATGTTTACCAGGTCTCCTCCTCGCCCAAGCCCAGGGGGGCTGCACTACTCTGATGAGGATATCTGCAACAAGTACAATGGAGCTGTGCTGACTGAGGGCTTGGGACTCAACGAGAAGCCCTTAGAAATGTCGGAGTCAGAGGTAAGGGTTTGCCTTTGCCTCGCTGAGTGTCACTCACTGCACACATTCGTTCCCAGCACCAAAGACTTTGAAATCCCATTGCCACACCGGCATTGCGCTGTTGCCATTATTTGTCTGCATCGATATTATCACAGGTTTTCACAGTGCCTTTTTAGGCAGCTGCAGCAAACACTGAGATTTGGAAGTATGTTCTTTAGTGATGAGAACTGCTGCCTGCATTATAATGGGAGTAAGTGGGGAATCAGTAACCTGCCAGGGATCTCATAGCAATTTCAGTGAGCCCAGCATTCAGGTTTCCAAATGCCCCAATCTACAGGAGCCTTCTGCTTGGGATGCTTTCAGACTCTGTTCTCCAAGGAAGGTGGTTGTATGCCAGCATTATGCATTTGACAGTGCTCTATCTTGTGTCTCACATCTTCTTTAAGAAATAAGTGGTTATGGTCTGTAAAAGCCCAGCAGTGGCCATGGGTGAATAAGCAGACTTCAAGGGACATGCAGACAGGTAAATCTGTCTCTCAAATTGTATGTTGTCAGCTGAGATCCCGATGAATCTGAGCTGACAGCACAAGAAGTGAGCAGTGGGCCAAACCACTCCAAACCTGACCCTTCCAGCAAGAATAAATCAAGAGCAGCAAGTAGTGAAGGAAGATGACAGTTTTCATCTGTAGCTTTTCTGCACCTGCAGCTACAGCTGCTTTTCCTGGCTACCCAACTCTCACCTCCTGTTAATTATCACGGACAGCCTGCTGCTTTGTGCTGCCCTATCGCCGACCCAGCGTGCCAGCAGCTTCCTTGGCAGAGCTGGAGCTGCTGTCTGCACGATGCACAAGCGCTACCTCCAGATTAAAGCCGTAGTGCTTTGGTCATGTCACTGTAACAACCCAGCATTAAACCTGTCATTAAAACAGTTTGCTGAGCATGATCATGAATTTAGCTCTGGCACCTTCTGACATTAATTTCATTGCCCCATGTGGTATTTCTTGGTAATGCGCAAAAGTCTCCTTGCAGGGTGTCATTACTGCCTTCTATGTGCGCTGTTTATACGACATAAAAGAAAGTGTTGTGTCTTTTTTTTTTTTTCCCCTCAGGCTATTATTAATATTATTTATTTACTATGTATTGCAGTCGAGCCTGAAGGTCTCGATTGAGATTCTAGTGTTTTTGTGACTGTGTCTGCATGTGAGAATGGGAACAAAATATGCCTCTTGTTTTTCCTTGGGGCTTAGATATGCAGCCCGTCTGTATAATGTCTTTGATGCTTGCTTATTTTTGTGGGGAGTGCTTTTAGGCATGAAATGTTAATAGGCTCCCGATAGAGGTAGCAAGAGGAGATGCTGCCTTTTGATCAGCCTGAAAATGCTGTTTATGTTGGCTGGTACAGGCAGGAGATGAGGGTACAGGGGCAGAGGTGGGTATAGATGTTTGACCGCTCTGTTTTCAAATATTCCTGTACCTATTAGCTCTTCCCGTTCATCTTTTCTGCTCTCGGTTTCTGTTCTCAAAGGATATCTTAACAGACAAGCTCTGGTTTTCTGAGCATTTCAGAATCTCCATCGTTTTTAGCAGGCAAGAATGTTTCCTATTAAGTGAAGAGTTAAAGATATCTTTTTTATATAAGAGCTCTACACATGTTCAGTCCTCTGCAGCAAAGGGGATCCTGATGCTATTTTCCTCTAATACGTATTTGCATGGATCTCAAATTCCACTTACTGTGCTGCACAGAAGGGCAGGTAAGACCAAAAACAGTGCTTTTGCTTCCAACCCATATGTCATCTCTCTGCTTCTTAGTTTCACCCTTGTTGCCTGAAGTGTCAAGATTTTCTGTGGAAAAGAAGGAAGCTCGCTGGCTTCAACTCTCATGGGCTTTACTGAGCACGAAGAAGCCTGAGAGAAACTCTCAGGTTGACTGACTGCATTTGCAACACAGCTGCCTGGGAGCCTTCCTCCTTGCTCCCTCCTGACGAGAAGAGCAAGAGAGGAACGAAGAGGAAATGTAGCAGACCAAGCAGCACTCCAATATTCATAAATCAAATGGTTAACTCACTCCATGTCATGAAAGCCAAGCACCAGCACCGTTAATGAGGTTAAAGTAGTTTAATTGGCAGGTGTGGAGCAAGAGAGTGCTAAGAGTGTAATTTCTAAGTGATTAATAATAATAGGCTTTTAGGTAATGAGTCAAGTGGACCAGGCTCTGGACAGACGATCTGAAGAAATTTGGTGCTCACCATTGTAGGGAAATTTGATGATGCATCTGTGATGTCAGCCAGCCAGGGAAGGGCAGCAGGGCAGGGTGTTGTGTATGTTCTTATGCTCACGTGTCTTTGTGATACCCCAAAAACTGTTTTCAGGAGGTGATATTCTCATAGATTCTGTGCAGTGTCAGTCCCTGCTGGATGCTGGAGATGCTCTGCTCTGCCAAGCTGCCCGCTATGGCACAACTGATTTTCCCTTTCTCAGCTCTGTGGGTACATACCATAAATTTCCACTTAACACTTATTGAGGAATATGGCTTAACTTGTTTCTGATGTTTTCAAGCAATTTTGACAAGTTGGGCAGGAGCTGCAGACGAGACGTTCATAGGGAGGGTTCCCATGTCCAGCAAAATGACTTGCCTACCAAGTCAAGCCTACCTCTTTTACACATACTTGTTTCATGTCAACCAAGAGAAGCTGCTGCTATCTACATTTTAAGAAATAATCTCAGAAAGCTGTTTCTTATCCATTCACTTAAAATAATAATAATAATTGGAACTATTTTTGAATTTCCCATTGACTCAGCTAGCCAACTCTGATTGCTGTTTTGCCTCTGAACAGCATTTGTGCATTTTGTGCTATCAATATAATGCTTAAATAGCCTCTCATTTTCTGTATTTATTGTTTCGTAGGCATCCCCACACTCTGGTTGACAGCCTCTAATGTCACCGTACACCAATCACACTTCAGCCTATGGAGGTTTCCAAGGAAACAAAGCCACCGTCGCACTGAAGGGCGATGCAGAGTAGGGAAAACTGAAAACAAAGCAAAAAGCCCTGCAGCATTTCTATTTCCTCAGTAGTTTAAAAACACTAGAAAGTAATCCTCTAATATAAGCTGTCTGTACTGTCATGCAAAACATTTATTTTTTGACTCCTTGACTTTCATTGGGGCAGGCAGGGATCTGGGATCATAACTTAGAAAATTTCTTGCTGCTAAGGGCAGGTATCAGTACCTTGTTCAGAGCAGACCTTTGAAGATAGTTTGGAAACGTGGAATAGTTGGTTCTTGCTTATTTTGAAGGAAATACAAAGAAACCACTTTCTATCAAGACCAAAAAACAGGTTATCCTTCCCAGCATCAGTGTTAACGATGGCGAAAGGCTGAAGTTAGATGAGGCTTTTGCAGCTATATAAGTTTCATGAAAGTCCTCTCTCAAAGGCATTGGTCTTATTTACACCGCATTAGTATTCTCTTTCAGTTGGGATAACAGACTAATTAGGGGACAGATTATCAGCAGGTGGCCTAGTTTGAAAATCTTGGACTTTCCGTCCGTGGCAAGTCTATTTCAAGTGGCAGCAGCCCATCTAAAAGTGCTCCCAATATTTCTCCTCTTCATTATGTTGACTTCTGGCAGTCTCAAAAGGACTTGGCTTAGGTACAGAAACTGTATTAGTTCTGTGGGTAAGTATATTTTTCCTAGCAGTGGATAGAAATCAAGTGGCTGCATCACTGTTATTGTACCTATCAAGTAATGTGCTCCTTTCCTGGATACATCTCCCTCTCAGCATTTCTTCTTAGACCTCCTGGCCTTTTAACTGCTTTTATGTTTCTTCCCTGTGTCTGTGGGGCCGTCAGGAAGACCAGGAAGGAGCCACAGGAAGCGATTTTTTATTTTTATTTTTACTTATGTGTATAACACTGCAACTCAGCTGACACGATCCATCTCTCCAGCAGAGGCTTGTTTCTCTGGAGCTGGAGGAGAGCGTCTGAGGCATTGAGACTGATTTTGGATTGGGGAAGGAGTCGGAAGAGCTATGGTTGCATTGTGTTGTTGGCGGGGGAGCGCATCCAGGAGTTCATATCTTTAGGTGATGCTCACTGTTGAATGAGCTGCAGCCATCTGCCTCTGCTCAGGATGCAGAGACTTTTCTGCTGGATGCCGACATCATCTCCCAGCTCCCCGAGCACTTTAAGCCTTTAACGCTAGCATACAGAGCTGCAGCAACACATAGGCAGGCGCAAGGTACAACATCTTGTTTCTTGATAGGAACAGAGGAAACCAGGTCTGCAGGAAAAGTCTGTTGCCTCTGCAGCTGAGGACCTGAGCTGTAGCCTCTCTCTGTCACGCTGCCACATCCACCATCAGCAGAAGCACTTTTGTTGGAGCCCCTTACAAAATAGACAGGGCTGTGCTGGCAGGATGTTTCCTGCAGCAGTGCCAAGACTCTGGAGCTGCTCTCTGTACCCCTTGGCTGCAAAATGTTCCAAATCTGGGGATATTCCAGGCACGCTGCAAAAACCACCTGTTCAGGAAGGCCTTTGGAGGGAGCCCGGTGTTGTCTTCCCAAGGTTGGCAGCTGGTGCAAAGGAACGTTTTTCCAGGTGATAGATTTGCTGAGTTCCTTCTGGAATAATTGTTAAATGCTGGTGGGGTTTTGTTGTAATATTAATTACGCATCAAGGCACCTGGAGCTTTGCAGTCTTAAAACAATAGAAAGATCCAAAGCATGGTTAACAGAAGGGGAATTTTGCAAAGCTGTTAGCAAACTGCTTTACTCAGTTTCAGAAAAGTCTGGGAAAAAATTTCTCAGCCCCGTCTATCACTCTCTGTGCTGGAAAACAGGCACGAAATAGTATCGAAGCAGACATCTCAGCAAAGGAGTGGGATGATGGATGCGGTGCCCTTTTCAGATGATGGTTCGGAAGGCATTTGAAGATTGTTCTTCAGAGGCCATTAGAGGAGGAGAGACTAGTTGTGTGGCAGGCAGGATCAAGGAGGGTGTGTGTTTGCTGTGTGGTGTCAGACTCAGAATGATACCAACCTTCTGAAACTAACTGCAATCACTAGTGGTTGTGAGTTGTGCTTACCCATCTCTCTCTCTTATATGTCATAGGCAGCCACCACTTTGATTTTTAATTGCCTTTTAGGTTGGCTACACAGGCTAACAGGGGGGGAAAAAAAAGGAATAAAAGCTTTTGCATGCTCGAATGAGAGATTTCAAGAGAAGGCATGAGGTATGGCAGTGACTGAGTAAATGTTTGTGTGCTGTATGGGATGTGGCTGCTATTGGTGGGGATGTCAGTGGGAACAGAAGGGAAATGTGCGCTTGGATGCTATGGGCAAGGCTTTGCCATGATCTCTGTTCAGACGAGATCGATGAGCTCTCCATGCTTCCTGCAGCTGTGTCCCAGAAGCCGTGCTCTGGAGGCACAGAGCTGCTCTGGTTACAGCCCAGCAGAGCTCCTCAGCTCCAGTGAGCTGCCAATACCGGCTCTGAGGCTACTGGTTGTCCCCTGTACACGTTGTCAGGGGTAAGATCCTGCCTGAGCATGGGCTAGTGCCTGAGCCATGTGATGGAAGCATCCCCTCCTTTCTGGCAGTTCTTTTCCAAATATTGCATTTCTGTTTTCTTCCATCGCTGCTGGTTGTGTGCATTATTACACTACTGATAATCAACTGGAAAGTACAAAATGGAGTTGTTTGCCTGAAATAACTTTTGGTTTTGCTTAACTCCCTCCCAGTGATATAACTAATTTTCAGCATTTAATGAGGCTTGCAAGCCAAACTCTGAGCACTGTGCAGGTGCCCTGACCTGAGCAGAATACACAACAGCATGGCAGCTGCTGTGCACAAAAGCATTCTGTCAGTTCTTGCATCAGAAGTAGAGAGATTCTCAATTGCTGTTGCAATTGTGATCACTTTGATTATATCAGAGAGTCATAGAATGGTTGGTTTCCCTACAATTACTCTACCCTTCTCTGTACCTTCTGTCCAAGTAGGGAGCTGTAGTCTTGCTGTGGGGTTCTGCGCTAAATTAGAAGGGATTTTGTAGAATCATAGAATGGCCTGGGTTGCAAAGGAGCACAATGCTCATCTGGTTCCAACCCCCTGCTGTATGCAGGTCGCCAACCAGCAGCCCAGGCTGCCTAGAGCCACATCCAGCCTGGCCCTGAATGCCTGCAGGGATGGGGCATCCACAGCTTCCTTGGGCAACCTGTGCCAGTGCCTCACCACCCTGTGTGAAAAACTTCCTCCTGATATCCAACCTAAAGCTCCCCTGTCTCAGCTCAAAACCTCTATTTCTCTTGTCCTTTCTCTGCATCTCTTATTGAAAGAGAAAATCAGGGAATTTCCCCCTAGCAGCAAGACCTGGCTCAGCCAGAGCACAGCACTCCCCTACAGCCAGCATGTGTTACACTTGGACTACAACCCATCCTACCCTAAAATTATGGCTTTTGTCAGCTGGTGATATTAATCTTCCCTCTAATTTCTTTCAGAGCAGACTGAGCTAAATCCTAGATGCTAACAGCTGATTTTTTTTCCCTTATACTCCAGGCTACCGACTCAGATTACGAAGACGAGCTGCCAAAGCATTCCTTTGTGAACCATTACATGAGCGATCCCACGTACTACAACTCCTGGAAGCGGCAGCAGAAAGGGGTGAAGCACCCAACATCCTACAGATACGAGGAGTGCTCCGCCAGCGAGACAGAACCCTATTTCCAGACTGTCATCACGACACAGAGCTCAGGAGGGGTGTACACCCCAACGGGACAGCCTGCACCCGGCTCCCGGACTCCAGTGACAGGCTTCTCCTCCTTCGTCTGACACGGGGTGGGAGGGAAGAGCCCGGCCGCGATGCCGGCACTGCTTGGGATCAGACAGCAGTGACCAGCGGCGAACTGTGGGTAGCTTCTCTATCAGGGTAGAGCGGATGGGAACACGGATGAGGCTGATCTGGTTTTGTTCTTTATTTGTCTTTTTTTTTCTTTTGTTTTGGGTTTGGGTTTTTTTGTTTCGTTTCGTTTCGTTTTGTTGGTTTTTTTTTTCCTGAAGACAATCAATTCTCAAATCACGGAGCTGAACTAGCCGAACCTTTGCTTAAAAAAAAATAAGGGGGGAGGGAAAGGAATTCTGAAAAGCGATGATTTTAAACCACTTGTGAATAGTTGGGGTTTTTTAACCACTTTTTTGTAACACTGCTTCAGGAAGCAGCTCCTGTGCCCTCTCTTCCCTCTTTCTTTCTCTCCCCTCTTCCTATCCCCCCCCCTCCCCCCCCATTTCCAAACAAGGAGGTGAATTCCCCAGATGCAATGAGAGACTTTGTGATGTGATTCGAAGAGAAAACATAAAACCTCCCAGGCTCCTTTTTTTTTCTTTTTCATTTCCTTCTGCCATCAGGGTCAAGAAGTTAAAAACAAGAAGGGACAAACTTATACATGAAAAGCAGACACCTCCTCTCTCCTCTCCTCTCCTCCTCATTGCTCCCCATGTTAGGAGCACTGGCTGATTCACTTAGGCTCAGATGTGTCACTGAGGCTGCTCTCAGCTCACTACTGGAGTTCATATGCTGAATTGCTGACCTGCTTTCCCTTCTTTTTCAAATGGGACCTGCTGGAATCTTTAAATATTCCAACTCCAGGGCCTCTAGAAGAGCAGATGTATCAAAAGAGCTCTGTAGGCAGCAGTGGGTGAGACAAATGGGAAGAATTTGGATGCAAGGTCAGTTTATTTTTGGTGTGGCTCTAATTCTCCCTTGTGGACTGCATGTGCTGTTTGAGTTGTTCGTTTTCAAAAGTCAAAGGACAAAATCCAGAAAGCCAGAGGAATCTTTCAATTAATTGCAGTGACAAGCGAGAGAGTCTGCTAATTGATGAGGGTTTTGATCATGAAAGTTACCCTGCCCTGTCAGTAGAAACAGAGCATTCTTTTTTGCCCAGACTCTGCAGTGATGCTTACTGGTCTGTAAAAAAATAAGTGGTACTTGGGTTTGTTTGATTTTATTTTTTTAGTACAAAGACACGTCACATGGATTGGGTGAGTTCTGGTGTCCACAGGTGCCTTTTATTCATTCTTCACCTTCATATCTAGGAGAAGCAACAAAGTGTCTCCAAATAAAGCTAATCAGGTTTTCAAGTTAGGGCTGTGAATTATCTTGTGCACATTTATCGGCTGCTTTGTGTGCTTGAAGCTACAGCCTTTGAAAAGGAGAGAGGACTTTTTGTTTATTTTCCATCCTTTTGTACAGCTCCCCTTTTGTTTTCTTTGTTTCTACCTTTTTCCTGACTCTGTTTAGCAGCACGTTGTTTGCTCACAAGGAAACTGTCAGGGCTTTAAAGGAACTGAGTGCCGCCCTTGGATCTAGCAGCATTCCTGGATCACTGCACTTTTTATCACAAGTATGAAAGGCAAATTTGAAAGGAGGCACAACCTCGCCACTCCAGCACCTGGCGTTCCCTTCCAGATGGATGTAGGTCAGCCAGGAGAACTGGCATCCTGCTGCTTGCTGATGTCTCACCAGGGCACGTGTGGGCACTGTTCCCATTGCAAATTGTCCCTGGAGAGAGGAAAATTGTCCTCTCTAGGGAGATGCAGGACAGCGATGGCACTGGATGATAATGTCTTAAAGGCAGGTTGTTGAAACCAACTTAATGTTGATGACACAGCCTGCCTGTCCGTGCTCTTAGGGCTGGTTAGAAGCTGCTTGGTTTCTTCTCACCTGAACAGGTGAGGTCCCAGCAGTCACCTTTCTGTGCCTCTCAGGCAGGGCAAACCAGCTTAGAACTGCCTGTGCTCTTTGGCACTGCCTCTGAGCCCTGCTGCTCTTGGTGCATACAGATTCTGGATAGCACTGACACTGGATTGTTGTTCTTCTCCAAAGGCTCCAGAAAGAAAGAATTCAAAACCAAAAACCCCCTCGGATGTGTTCAGGGGCTTTTGAGTTTGGAGTAATGATTCGTGGATCATTAAATCACAAGGGACTTCTAAAGGTTACTTAAGCCAAAACCCTGTGAGCCATCCTCCTCTCCAGATCTGGGTAGGACATGTGTGGGATAGAGGAGAGGCTCTAAAGCAGGTTACTTGAGCTGATGGTGAAGAGGAATGCAAAACAAACAGGAAAAACCACTGCCTTCTCTGCACTTTGACTGTTCTCTTAAGCCATACGGACTTTGCTTTAATTACGGAACTGACAACGAATTGTTTGCAGTCTGCATTTTTTGGTTTCTTAGGCAAATTTACCTGTGTGACTTTCCATTTAGTTTTCTTTTTCCATGCATCAGATTACTTATTTTAAACCTCTTATTATACATACATGGGACACAAAGGTGCTATTGCTGTTGGGGTGCTAAATGGGCTCATCCAATGGCTCAGAGAGGCAGTGCTATGGGAGTCTTTCATGGACCACTGAGGGACTCGTGGATACAGTTTAGAACAAGATAGATCACGTATTGAAGATCTTGCTCCAAAGGACAGCGTGGGGTGAGTAGCTTCATATCTCCTGAATACTGCTGGATCTAAACTGCTGTAAGGTGCAATTATTCCCTGGGACTGTTCCGATACCACATTGAGTAAAAAGGCAAGAAAACCACGGGGAATGAAGAAAATGGAATCTGTGGTCACAGTTGCACCGAAGGCAGACATGGGGAGCAGCACAATCTGTATAAAGCAAGAAGAAATGATCCCTTTTTTCTCAGTGCCATCTGCAACTGAAATGCTCGAGCTCTCTGGGGTCCTGCCGCGTTGGCTGCACAGCCCTTTTCTTCTGACTGCCACCAAAATGAAAGGTTAGGAGTGATGCCTGGAGGTCCTGCTGATCTGAGCAAAACCATCTCTGTTCCATTCCAGATCATTATTACTCTCAATGTTGTTTTGTTTAGCAGTTGGCTTTTCTTACTTACAGGTTTATTTTATTTAGGCTTTCGCTCAGTGTGGACATGCACTGCCCTGCTCACTCCTAAAATGAGAACAGGATATGAGTTCTCCTGCCCAGTTCACTTATAGCTACATGCATGATGCCTGTGCCTTCTTGCTCACATGCTGTATTGCAAAATGTGACAAATAGGTAGGTTTTATTTACTTCTGATACCAGGTAAATTGTTCCATCTAGAAGGAAACACTCCATCAGTTAGCAAGAAAGCTCTCTCTTATAGCTGTAATCTTTGGGAATTACAGCTTTGAAATATGACTTTTAAACATTAGCTGTCATTTTACAATAACTTCACCCATCAAATCCACTTCTGTTTCCTTCTTCTTGTTTAGAACCATCTTGAAAAATGAAGACTTATATGTAAAACTCCTTGTTAGGGCATTTTATTTGTATTTATTTATTTTCTCTGCCTTGTTTCTCAGGTCTCCGGGTGACTGTTATTAAAAAATAAAAGCAACGTTATGAAATGACCGAGGGAGACGTTTCAGGGAACAGCTTAACAGGAGCTCATTTTTCATGTGGTAGCCATGGGAATATCCCATTTCATGCAGAAGAGTGCCATGTCACACACGGTGTGTCCCCCAGCACAGGTTGCTCCCTCAAGTGGAATATTTTCCATTCCCACCTCTTAATCTCAATTTGGTGCATGGCTGGTGCTGCTGGGTGAGAAGGGACAGGAGAGGGCACTCTTCTGCTTCCACTGGGGACAGCCTCTTCTTCCCCACCCCGGGAGTCAGCAGCTGGAAATTCCCTTGTGGGGAGAAATGAGATCGTGTTGGTCAAAGGCTTTCAGAGGCAACTGCTGAAGGAATCACCCTGTGCCAAGTGATCCCAATATTGGAGGCAGTTAGCACTTAAAAAGGGGAGGGAAAAAGAGAGAGAGAAAAAACAAAACAAAACTAATCCATTAACCCCAAAGTAATTTTTTTCCTCCTCATCTGGAATGCTAAAACCAGTGATGCTTTGCAGATGGACTGAGATCTCGTTTCTTCTGCTTATGTCCAAGCCTCTGCCAGAAGCTGCTGTAGCAATATATTAGAATAAATATCCAGGTCTGTTTTGAAGGGGGGATACATTTATTATCTTTGTCATTGCTCTCCTCAAGAAATACATCGGGTCATCCAAAGATTATCCAATCTGCTCTCCAGAAAGGGAGGATAGAAAGCAGTTCATGCAGACAGAGCACCGGTGTCTTCTCCCACTTGCAGTTTTCAGACTAAACAGGGCAATCCTTTTAGAGAAAGAATTTGTCAGGGAATTTTAAAATAAAAGAATGATGACTTTTGGCAGGGCCACTATAAATCAGCCATCCTGGAAACCTGAGACATAAGAGAGAACACGATCCCAAAACATCCCATCTTTGGCAGTTTCCTTTATCAGTAGTAGCCGAAAGGGCACATGCAATGAGGGATTCTATTTGGAGAGCAAAAGCCATCACAGAACCACTGCTAGACAGGCAAGTTGTATTGCAGACCATGTCGTTCCATCTGGAGTTCCTGCTATTGCAGGAATGATCAGCATGGGTGGAGTCCATGCAGCATCATGGCATTAGGAGAGGTTTGTTGCTGTTGAGCTTACACAGAGGCCGCACGCATGACAACGTGGTTGTACAGTATGCTCTGAAACCTTAGGGAAAGCCACTCTTCAATTAGGAGCACACAAACCCCAAAACTGAACATGTTGGATTGGGGTTGAGCCTCTAATGGCTTTACCTGACAAATCCCTTCATCATATTTTTTGTATTCCTTTTCTTCCCCCTGCATCTCAGACCCAGCCCTCCCAGGCAAAGTTGGCTTGCACTTTGTGAAGGTGTGAAGCTTGCCACCCACTGTAGTAGAGCCAGCACTGATAAGCACACGTGTGACACATGGGACAGGTGAGATGTGTTTGAACAAGAGGTGAGATTCCTTTGTGATTTGAGATTCAGGCGTTGACTCAGAACTTTTACCTTCTCAAAGCTGCCACCTGCCCTTTTTAAATGGCCTTGGAGCCTCAAGACTTGACAGGAAAATCATTATTTCTGTTGATTACTGTTTGATCACTGTGCACTCTCCTGGGGCTTGAATCACTGGATATAGAGACTGGCACAGGGTCACAGAGCTTTATATCAAAGTGTTTTCCCATCGATGTCCAATTCTTTCCATCTGGAAGGGACACCTTTCTGCTTGTCAGCAGACGTGGTGATGTCCTGCAGGTGGGACCTGGGATGTGGCATCCACTCTCCCCGGTGGTGATGCTGAGCCCATGGCAGCAGTAGCAGGTTGCTTTGCCACTCTTGGGATGGGATCCGTCCTCTGACCTGGTTCCTGCTGTCAGCTCAGGGGTAGGACCACCTTACACAGCTGTTTCGGAGTTACCCTTTAGTGTAGTGTGGTTATCGGGTCAATTGCTTTCACTTCAGTGTCTCCTTGGGGATTTGCCCTGGATTTCCGTTCCACGCCTCTCGTTAAGCCTCACCTTCACCACTCCACTATTTTATATGAGAAAGTTACTTCTTCTTTTGCAAAACTGCTTCTAATTAAAAGAACCCTTTTGGAACGCGTGTGCCTTTGGTACTTTTATTGAGGGGTGGGATGAGGGGTGGTGGGGAGAAAATGTTTTCAAGCCATTTCTGTTATTTTTGGCTAGAAGAAATGGTTTGGTACCTTGCCAGAGTGTTCACGATTTAACAGCTCAGGACAGTGAAAATGTAACACAGGCTGAAATTCCACGCTGTTAGTTCTGGGCTATAAAATCTTATAATCCCTCGCTGCTTTTTGAGCTCAAACGAAGCTCTCAAATCGTTTACACCCAAAATTTGGTCAGCCTGAAATTTGTGGTGTTCAGTGGTGATAAACTTCCTCCCGGATGAGCTGAAACCCATTGGGGCTGCTGGTTTGTGTGCTTTGGTTGTCCCTGCAGGGTGGGAGCAGCCGTTATTCAGGTCCCACAGGGGTGCTGGTGGCAGTGGGCTGGATCCTACCTCCTGTAAACCCATGCAGCCTTTACAATGGGGAGGTGACTGTGGCTTTTCCCTGGCAGGGAAGCAAACCACACGCGGGCAGGTTGGCTGCAGCCCTGCTGGAAAAGGTGAGAGGTGGGAAATCATTGCTTTCCAAGGGCTGGGAGTCAAACTGCTAAGGAAACAACTCTTGTTTTCCTGCTCCTGAAAAGGTTATTGTAAACAACGCAGTGTTAGATAAATACAGGCACCCCCCTGACTGGTGGCATGTAATAACTTAGAGGTATCAACGTGCCCATTTTGAAGATGAAAATCTTCACACTGTAGAATTTTGTGAGCAAGGCATTATTCTGCAAAATTGCCAGAACACACAGCAGTACTTTTTTTGAGGTCATTCAGCCCCAAAGTGCATCGTCCTCTGCTTCCAGCCCTCACTCTGCTGTGGACATGTTTCCTTTGTGCATGTTTTTATGGTTAGGAATGGAGCACGGACATAAACACTGGAGTGGATGGGTAATCTGCCATGGCATTTGTAGCCTAAACAATACCAGAGCACACAGATTGACTTCCTGCCCTGCCTTGAGCAGCACAGGCAATGGCTTGACTGAATCAAGCAATCAGGGCTTTCACTGCTGACCCTTTTCCTGCTATTTGTCTCATTTGTTTCCTCTTCTTCCTCCTGTGTTTTTGCTCTAGGGTTATTTATTCTTCTCCTTGCTCCTTTTGTTTTCATTATTTAAGTCTGCCTCTCAGTTTTATATATATATATATATTATTTTTTTTTTCCCTCCTCCTCTTGCTTTGACAATCATTTTCATTCTGAGCCTGCTTTTCTCACAAAATCAAAAGGAACTTTATCTGAACACATTTTTCTTCATTATTTGTGCACATCCGCCATGCCCTAAGAACGGGAGTCCTGCTTTGCTGTATTGTTTCTTTGGAAATGCAGGATGTATCCCTCTCTGAGCCCAAGCAGTATGATCACTGAAGCTTTGGTCTGAGCTCCCAGGCCCATGGAGACCTTTGTTAGGTAGAGACCCTCATTAGGTAGAGACCCTCGTTAGGTAGAGACCTTTGTTAGGTAGGCAACTGGTATCTTTACCACTTCGTTTTCTAGCTAGGGTAAGATTAAGTCATGAGACTGATGATATGAAGTCATTCTGCAGCACTTTCACAGACAAGCATCTCAGCTGCCAACAGGGCTGATGAAGTCATCTGCAAATTCAGAGAGTATTTCCCTATATATGGAAAAAACCCTACAGTTATCAGCACGTGGTGGAAGAGGAAGCAACCCACGCCCATGGAGTCACTGATAGGCATGGCTCTGCGTTGTGCAACTCTCAGAGGCTGAGGTCAGCAGGCGCAGCACAGCCTGTTTTCGAGGAAAGCAGCCTTGCAGTGACTGAATCAATGACCCTGCTGCTCCTTCTCACTCCTTGATAACATGGGACTGTGCCAACGCTCACTTTGTGCACTGAGCAGAATGCATGCACAAGGCTGAAGGGCAGTCCTGGAAAAGGGCTGTGTAGTGCAGCCCAGGGCCTCGTGCCAGGAGCCATAAAGCACCATACAAACACGGGTAACCTCACCGCAGCCCAGTCAGGCTGGAAAGATAAATATTCCTTTCTTTTTAGCAGGAGAAATTTGAGGCCCAGATGAGCTCTGCCTATGGGACCATGCATAGTCTGTGTGCCCAAGTGGCCTCAC